ACCGAGACTTCCGTCCCTTTGTAGAGGAGGCCGATCAGATGCAAGGCCTTCAGATCGTGACAACTATAGATGACGCCTGGGGAGGCTTCGCGACCGATTATGTAGAGCGCCTGCGGGATGAGTATGGCAAGACTACGATCTGGGTATGGGGTCTGCAGACTCCTGTACCCGCTGCTCGCATCGTAAGTTCGAACATTGGTTTGCGCGCTTATTACACCCGCAGTCTAGCTGAATGACAACGCCAGGACCAAAGACGCCTCCAGCTCGCCAACACTGCAAGGACGGTCAAGGACATGTGTGAGCACGCCTCGATGCTGGTTCCCATGGCTCTGCCCCAAACACAGCTGAACTCAAACATCAGCATCGACATGCAATCTCCTTGGCAAACCACAGCCCTGCTGAGTACGGCCATGGAGACAGCAGGTATCGCTTCCCGGCTCAACTCAAGCAGCTCTGGCAGTGGTCTGCAGGCAACCCTCGGCGAGCTGGTGAGTGGGTTGAATCTACGCGGCAGACAGACCATGAGCCGTCTGCAAATGACCGTCGTCGACCCGGCCACGGAAACGATACAAGACATCCGCGCACCAGAATCAGGTTTGGATGATGACGAAGCTGGCGAGATAACCAAGCTGGACACAGACTTGTTTGACATCCTCCGATCCAAGTCTATTCCTGGGAGAAGGAATATGAATGGCGGAGGCGGCAAGGCTCACCTTTTTGGGCAGACAATCACTACTCGCGGCTCACAGCAAGTCTTGAAACACGACGAGGGCGAAGGCAGCGATGGCAGACAGCGGCCAAGAGCTACGCTCATAGAGACCAGTACGCAAAGGTATGCCAGAACAGACAGCCATAGCTATCCTCTCAAAGGCTTGTTCGTAATTTGACGTCTAACTTGTGATGGCAGGTATCTCACTGATAAGGGCTTCCCTATGCTCGACAGTTTCCCCGATATCTACCTCGACGGTAGCGGCAAGCCGTTGAGCGAGTCATTTGGCGTCAAGACCAGTCTTTCCACAGATACTTCAGTGTCTGCCGCGCTGAATGCCCTGCGCACTACCGTCGCATCCTCTCTTGGTGTGGAGGACCGAGAAGACATTAGCAATGAGCTAGCCGACTTCGCCGAGGCGTATCGAGAAGGATGGTCTAGTGGTAGCGATGATGACGATGATTGAGGTAGCTTAGATAAGCTCTAATCAATCTAGGCGAATCAGTACGTCAACTGAAACGGCTCGAGGATGAAGGAAACCTCAGATCTTGAGTCTCACATTGCACCGCCTCGGTCACATCAGCACTCACAGGTTGATTTGGCAGAGAGGCACAGACACCCCTAGTCGCCTAGGCACCCATGAGGTCACACGGTATCATCGCAAGGCAAGAGCAAAGGTTGGGGACAAAGCATAGTCAATCCTCTAAATCGATGGTATCTAGTATACAGCTGGCTTCGCCTTGACTCAATGGTCCTGCCCGTGTTTGCATAAAGAAGCAGAGAGAAAATGAATCCGCCCTGCATTACAAAGCGTACGTGTCCCAAAGTGCATCCTTGTGGGCGACAGTGTTGTTCCTGATGCTCTTTAGTAGTCTCCGCTCGTCTCAGGCCAGAACGAGCAACCTACCAAAGCCCACAAGACATACCGGGTATGTTGTTGCTTTTGCTTCTGCGATCTCCACCCACGATTGGGTTATGGAAGGGGGGTCTTGCAGGTAAAGTGCGGATACACTGGCACCAGGGTAGTGCCAGGTCGTCGATAGAATTTTTTCTCTTTCATTTCCCTTTCCCCTGCCTTTTTCTGTGGGTCTATTTCGCTTTCTCTCTCTGGGTGTATGTTATCCAGTTTTTGGTATGGTACGAGACAGTCCCTGTTAGAGGACGTCAAACTCGAAGATGTGGTGAGGCCTATTAGTCAGTGGATCAGAGGCAAAAGATGCTACCAATGCTGACAGAGGTTGCAGCAAGACATGACTCCTTATTGGGGTCGATGGCGTGGGATGCTTTGTTCCAAAGTCCATACTCAACCGGCAGCCGTGACAGAAGCTTGCTGGCGCTTGGCGGGTGGTTCTTGGTTTTCCTATACCACGTGTCAGCCATGCGCTTACCAAAGCTTCGCTAGCCTTGCGATGAGCCCTCAAGCGTAGCCGTGAACTAAACCAGTGCAGTACCTCTGAAGCACTTCTCTTCTTGATCTGAGCCGCGCCATTCGCGTTCGGGTTGACACGCTTCTTCTGAGGCTTCTGAGGCTTCGTTTCGTTGGGTTCAAAGACGTCGTCGGGAAGGTTGAAGCTGTCCTGAACTTAGCGAATGCCACCAAAGGGAATGTGTCCGTATCGCCTACCTCCGCACATGCTGAACATTCAACGAGTTGAGAGCCGCATCGTACTTCTCCCACTGTGTACACAGAGCCTTGAAGTTCTCGACTTGATAGGATAGATCAAGTGATTTCGCGCCTAAACAGTTAGCTCTCGTGCCACTTTGACCCAGACTGGAAGGAAAAGCATAAGAGGCCGATTTGTGAATTCGGTTTCGTGAGCGGTAGCGAGCTTACCTTCGCTCAGGGTCAGCCCGATGTAGTGCGTGGTGGTAAAGACGTCGGTATAAGGGTTATGCTTCGGTGTCTGACTGAGAGCGTTGGAATCTTCGCCTTCCGATTTGACTCCTTCCGTCTTCACCCCTAGCTGTGTCTCGTCTTCTTCAGTCTTGAGCCCAGGTATGCCATCAGTGGGTTCCGTCTTGAGCCCTGGGATGCTGCTCAAGTCGGGCTTCGTTTCATCCGTCTCAGCCTTTTCAACCTTCGCCTCTTCCTTGATATCCTCTTGTTTGAAGTCGCTGTCCTTTGCTAGGAACGAGAAACTGCCAGCTTGAACCTGGGAAATTTCTGCCTCGTTCGCACACCTGTGCCGACGCTCGTAACCTTTGTTGAATGCATGGGCCAAAGCTATCGATTGGTGCTGTTCCAAACCTTGAACCAAGACGCGGACCTTGGATTCCACATAGCCTGACCAGATCTTGTGTGCTTCTTTGTCCGTGCTAGCAGTGATAACCGAGATGTAATATTTGTACCCCTTGGTGAAAAAAGTATGCTTGACAAACAAATCGCTCCAAGGGCTTTTGCCCAACATGATGTTGTCGGTAATGTCGCATCCTCTGCCGAGCTCTTGCTGGATCACAGTCATGGCTGACCGGGTAATGTTGTACGTGGCGCACATGGAAGGGTAGGCCGGGGTGATGACAGGCATCAGATGGAACTGATCTCCCTTGTACAACTATATACTTGATTTAGCACACATAGAGCTAGGGTCAGGGAAGAGGGGGAAGCAGACCTTGGGATTCCAAACGCGGACCTGCAAAGGGCCGCCTTCAACATGCTTCAGAAGGACAGGCTGTGGCCATGGCCAGCGGCGCATGATGTGGAAGAATTTGTTGACGATGACGGAGCTTGCGGCTTTGGGGTATAGTTGGCAGACGCGGGCAACCAGCATGGCCCAAGCCACGCCACCAGGAAATCCCATGATATTTGCATATATGGCCCGACGCTGCGCCCAAAGTTTGATGGCACGCAAGGCCAACTTGAAGGTGCTTTCCTCGGGAACCAAGCTAAGAATCTCATCTGTAACCCGTGTGCCATTGAGAGACCGAAGCTCGGCCTCATCCAGACCTCGAAGAAGGCCGGAGTCTTGGACATTAAAGTCCTTGTTCAATTGCTTTAGCATAGCAATGCGAGAGAAGATCAGATCGATGCTGATACCGGAAAATTCGAATTTGATGATTGGCACGAAGGCGTCGGCCACCACAGCCATATCCGTGATTGAGCCAGGAGGCGCCATTTCCTTCAGCAGGCTGGGGAAGATTTCGAAGTAGTCGGCGCGCGTGACGTATTTCGGAGCGACAACGAGGGTGTCGATGTCGGAGCCAGGGCCGAAGACGCCCAAGCGAAAACTGCCATAGGTGAAGATCTTTCCTCTAGCGTCTCTGATGAGAGCTTCGTTGCCTGCCTCCCTTTTCCGGGCCACTCGTTTCACAAATTCGTCGCATATCCGCTCGAGGTGCTTGATGACTTCGTGTCTATGGCCAACCGCGCGGGTCGTTAGCGAGAACAGACCGGGAATGCCCGGTGGCTTGATTCGAAAACTTGCCTCTTTTCGGTATCCGCAGCGCTCTCAAAAGTGTTCTGCTTCCTCAACTCTTGCATGAGCATTTCCTTCGCTTGGTTTTCCGCCTCGGTGGGAAGAGCAGTAGAGATGGGCGGCGTCACGCCCAACGGTCTTTCCTCGCTAGCCATGGCTGATTGTTGCTTTTGGAAGAAATAGATACGATGAGGAAACAGATAAGGACTGGCCTAGCTAAAGAAGCGACGGTTGGGCGACCCTGACGATGGAAGGAGGATAGGAAAAGAAGATGTAATTAGTAGAGAAAGAAAAAGGTTGTCAAGGAAGAAGCTTTGACTGCGAAAACAACCAAGCCGAAGTAGGTGTCGCTGTGATAACTTAGCCCAAAGTAGGTGGTCACCAAGTACCTTGCAGCTGAGGGCCTAGTACCTTTCACCTCTGGGACGCGAGGCACAAAGGTCTGAGTAAGGTAAGGCAAGGTACGGATAGGTAAGGTAGACAGTCTGACAGTCAAGGTCCGTTGGTGAATGTGGTAGCCCAGGGAAGCAGGCGCGTCTGCACAGTGGAGAACAGACCTAACGCAAGCTGATCTCAATTAGCCAATGAATGGAGGCGGAAGCGACCCACCCACTTTCGATGCTGGACAGTGGGTTAGCCAGTGAGTGCCCGTGGTCCCGTTGAATGTTGCCAATCCGACTTAAAAGGCCCTGGGCGGACCTCAATACAGCAGCACGGGTGCAGACAGACTCTATAGCTCACAACTTCAAAGAACCCCATCAACTAATGTATCCAGAGTGAGTTGTTTTGTTCATTCAACACGAATGCCGAATAGGGTATGTATGCCCAAGAGCTACCATCATCTCGGGTGCCACCGTCAATTCGGTACTGCGGTCACTCTAAACAAGCAACCACGCCAAACCTCCCAGTATCCCAATGCCTCCAACCATTTCCAGCGTCTTCCAACCCTGCCATCTAAAGTCGGCATTAAGCTGAAGCAAACCCAATGGATCCTGATGTCTTACAAGCCCCCAATCTAGGCCAGAGCCAGTACTGTGTCTCCTCTTACGGAGGGATTGCTGACGTTCTCCCCGTCCTCTACTTCTCGTCAATGCCATATCTGCGCCATCACCACCCGATGCAGAGCGGCCATCTCTCCAAGCCTCCCTCGACAACATAGCTGCTTGCTCCCATGCCCTACGCTCTTGCATCCGCTTTTCGTTGGCCAGGCTGCGTTGTAGATCTGCTGCCCAGTTCGTGAGCTGCACTCGGCAGAATCTTTCATCACAGGTAGCATAGTTTGGAGCGCGACTCATGGCAAGGGGCGTCAGTGATCCGGCCCCGGGACGCATCAACCACATATCCGTCGAGCCTTCTGATTTTGAGGCGAAGCCGGAGACGTTACTGGGCCCGGGATGACGAGTGCGCCAACCCAGAAGCTTTGCTGCCGCAGCATGGCGAAGCCAAGTTGCGCCATTCACGCAAAATATGTTTTCCAATAACTGTGAGAGATCGGAGGGCACAAAAGGTTGCACATACTCGGAGCTCATGAGTAGACTGGCGTCCATGACCTCTGAATCCGATCCCAACTCGCTAGAAGCAGCATATATATGTTGTTCTCCCACGCCATTCGTCGAGGGATCGAAAGAAAACAACCCGAGGCCAGCCTCGGCAAATTGTTGGGCAATGTGCTTCTTTGTTGCTGCTGTCTGCTCTAATGTCAAAGTGTCGGCATGCCCGATGAGTGGTATAACATTTGTCAGTGCCTCCAGTTGACGGAGATAATGTATATCAGTCGCAGACAGACCTAAGATGACTTGAGTGTTTGTGCTTTCAGTTCATGACAGCGTAGGTTCTTACCTGAACTGGGAATCATGTAGAGCACTGCATCAATAAGCAAGCCGCCGCTTCCACTGATTGTATTTAGAACATCGGGGTCTTCTAGACCGTCGAGGCGGCTCTTTTGAAGGTACGATTCAACGTATTGTAAGACTTGGCCCATAGTATCCGTTGGCTATGATTTTATTAGTCCGTTCGTGTCTCGAAGGAGATGGGATGCTTGCGGAACATACGCGACATGTTTCCTGATATCCAGGCGTATCGACCAGACAGATGTTTCTGTCTAGGATTGTGTCCTCTGGTTGAATCGGAGCAGGCGCAGGGGGTGAAAAGGCCGATTCCTTCCACCAGGATGGGTACGGCTTGGTGCTGGCTAATGTCTCTGTGATCTGGAAGGTGCCCTGAGATATTGGGGGGCTGTTCGGCATCGTCTTTGTTGGCAGGAAACCTTTGGACGCCATTGCCACTGGCACAGTAGGGTCAACGTGTACGATGTGCGAGCAAGATTGTGTTATAGTTCGAATCAAAGCGGTCTTCCCTACGCCTAAAAAGACATATTTTGTGAGCGAGTGCTACATTCTTGGAGTAAATGAACATGCAATACCTGATTTACCAGCTACGAGTAGCTTGAGCCTACCAAGGCCTTTCCCGGCTTCTGTGAAGGGTCTCCGACTAGGGACGTTGATTGTGGGCATAATGAAATGCTGAGCAACCTCGCCACTGTATATGCTTTGGGGGCGACCAGCATCCGAGGTTCCGAAGGCACTCATGACAAAGCTTTCCTGGTATTCTGAGAGCGATCCAGCTAGCGAGTTGGGCCGCGACGAAGAACTGCTGATAGCGGAGCATGATCCCGACACGCCATAGAGTATGGGTGTCATAGGTTGAGACAGAGATTGCGGAGCAGGTGTATGTATCCCCGCTGGCGATGGATTGCTGGTACAATTTGGCCGATGAGATACGACATCATGGGGTTGCAAAGATGATGTATAACGAGAAGTAGGTGGTGGAGCTATGCCAGATTCACGTCTCTGCGCTGATCCGTCGCCGGGGTTCGTGGATGTAGCTTGTTTCCGCTGTTCGCGCGATCGAGGAGCAGAAAGGGAATGCGATGGCAAGGAGGCTTCCATGATAGCTTCGTCAGCGAGGATGAATGACATTTGTGAGGCGGTAGTTTGCGAAGCCGAAGCGAGGCTTTCGTTGGCCCCATCACCTGAGGAGACATTCCCCGGGAACGAGTCGCATCCAGCTAAGGGTCGCATTTCGACGCGATAGTATCATCAGATCGTTATTAGTTGGAGCGTATATGTGGTTCACGTTGATGTTGAGAGAGCTTCGCAGTAGGGCACTCAAGCGCCACCTATGCCTCTAGTAGCGTTGACGGAAGGCCAGGCCGAGATAGTAAGTAGGGTAAGTAAGTAAGGTAAGGTAGGTCGTGTCGTTGACCGACGAGACGAGAGGGGTCTGATGGCGATAAGGTCATCCAGCAAGGGTGGAGAGGCGATAAGAGGCCCAAGTGGAGCGAGTGACTACTTCTGTACTAGTGCGGGGTGATAATGGAGACTGGGGGCGACGGGAAGCAGCTGGTCAGTCACCAGTCCCTTGCCCACGCCGAACCTGAGGTGAGAGCCGTTTTTTTTTCCCTACCTTACCTACCTAAGGTAGGTACCTAGGTTGGTAAGGTATACCTTAACATTAACGCGCGCCAAGCCTATCATAAGATAGGTACATGTTGGCACGTCGAGAAAACGATATAGAATTCAGCACTATGTAGCATAATTGGGGGTAAATTTTTTCTTTGTTTGAGATTGTGAATCAAGTTGATTCCTCTTACGCTTGTCTCGATTATAGCTTGAAAATAATATATTGGACCGGCATGAGGTAGCAAAAATTAGGAAGTACGTGGTGGGGTCCTGGTGTCCTCTTCACGTCTCCGCAAGGTGCAAGGTCGACCGACAGGCTGAATGCGACCCAACACTAACCACGCCGCATCCGCACCACTTTCTGTCGTCACTTCTTTCAGCTCCGACAACAATTTGAACGCACACTTGGTTATCCGCACTGCACTATTGCTTGATCATACCATTAGCTGTCGACCGCAAAACAAGCCATCCATCCCAAGCAACCCGGATACAGAATTTTCAGGCAGCTTTAGGTCACTTGCCGTGCGAGCCCCTATCGGAGCACACGTCTTGGGCTGGCGCGCATCGCAGCTCTCTGTTTTCTCCTTTCCCAGTCAGCCTCATCAACGACTGCCTCTACGATCTCAAGCCGAGCCTCAGAATCTTGTCTGTTGCTCCCGCTGACACGGCGAACTTCTTTCGCATTACCCACAATCTCAACATCGTTGCCAGCTCCATTCAGCAGACATGGACGGCAAGAGACACCCAAGCTCGTTCCAGCAGCTGGAGAAGCTAGGCGAGGGTACCTATGCTACTGTATGCCCTTTTAGTTCCGCACTTCATACGAATAGAGACTGACTGTTCATTTGTAGGTGTTCAAAGGTCGCAATCGGCAGACAGGGGAGCTTGTCGCTCTCAAAGAAATCCACTTGGACTCGGAAGAAGGCACTCCCTCGACAGCGATAAGAGAGATCTCGCTCATGAAGGAGTTGAAGCACGAGAACATTGTCGCCCTCCACGATGTTATCCACACCGAGAATAAGCTGATGTTGGTGTTCGAATACATGGATGGTGATCTTAAGAAATACATGGACACCCATGGCGATAGAGGCGCCCTCAAGCCTCACCAGATCAAGTCGTTCATGTATCAACTGCTGAGAGGCATCGACTTCTGTCACCAAAACAGAGTTTTACATCGAGACTTGAAGCCCCAGAATCTCTTGATTAACGGCAAGGGACAACTGAAGCTTGGCGATTTCGGCCTTGCTCGTGCCTTCGGCATTCCCGTCAACACGTTCTCGAACGAGGTGGTCACACTGTGGTATCGCGCACCAGATGTCCTATTGGGTAGCAGAACGTACAATACCAGCATTGACATCTGGTCTGCGGGATGTATCATGGCGGAGATGTACACGGGCAGACCGCTGTTCCCCGGCACAACAAACGAGGACCAGATTATTCGTATTTTCCGCATCATGGGAACCCCGACCGAACGAACCTGGACTGGCATTACGCAATTCCCCGAGTACAAGCCCACTTTCCAGATGTACGCCACTCAAGACCTTCGTCAGATTCTGCCTCAGATCGACCCTACGGGCATCGATTTGCTCCAACGAATGCTTCAGCTACGCCCCGAACTTCGCATCAGTGCTCACGAAGCCCTCAAGCATCCTTGGTTCAACGATATCGTCATGCAACAGCATCAGCAGCAAGCTTTGCAAGCCCAAGCTAGAGCCTACCCAGGACAAGGGTCTTACGAAAATTACTGATTCTCGAGCTTCGAACCGTGGCTAGGCGCCCGCATGCATTTGTGATTTTTGCTTTGACGGAATGGGGGTCTGCTATGCATTATTGGCATCGGCAGCGATGAGTGGCAACTTCATGGTGGAGTGTACGGCATTGTTGGCAGGCTTTGCCAAAGGGGCATTGCGGGCGTTACTGAGGACTGCGCTTCTTTTGGCGTTGTGTGCGGATTCGAGGGTCATTATGACAGTCGCGAGTATAGCTCGCAACCAAGTAGTACACAATGCATTCCAAGAGTTCCGCTTATTGTATATTTACAAAGTGTAGAAGATTGTATACATGGCGTGCCCTCTATGACCCGCCATCCAAGTCGAAGTGCCGTTATTCTTTGTTAACCAGGCTGTCATCTACAGGACTCTTGAATTGCTTGTCCTTGGGTTCGCGCTCCCAGGTCTCAGCAAGAGCGTATGCCGGGTTGTCTCGAGGATATCCCGCGCTTATCCTCAACTCTTGCACCATATCTCTGACAGTCTTGGCGACTTCTATGCGCAGCTGAATCGCTTCAGGATGGTTCTTCAGGGACTCTGGTACTTCGCCGACGCTCAACGGTTTGCCTCGGGCCTCTTCTTCTTTCTGCACGATGCGTTTCCACTTTAGACGCTGCTCTCTGAAAGCCTCGCCCACTTCGAGAGCCTCGCCGTAAAAGACGCGGATCTTGGCACCGATGCGTGGGAGAAATCGCAGCCATTTTCTATCCTCCGGCATGATGTCCGAGAATCCGTCGATGAACATGGGGACGAGCTGGGGGGCCGGGTCGGATTCGAGGATCAACCGGGACACGCCCCACTTGAAATATCGGAGGGTCCGTTCGGGATTCTGATGCGTACAGCCTTCTGGGAACACGTGAACCCACGCGCCATGCTTGCTTCTGTAGTAAGTGGGCGCGGAAAACACTTCGCTGTTTCCAGCTTCAAAGGCGGCTTTGAAAGGGAACAGTGCCCCGGGGCCGGACACTAAGCGGATCGCCTGTGTCATGGTGGGCTGGAATAAGCCGCCATAGGGGGAGTGCAGCAAGCGATATGTCGGCAAGACCTGGCCAAGGGTGAAGAACGTTTTGAAAGCGCTGCGGTTTTGTCAGGGGAGGCCCTTCAACGTCCAATTGAAATATGGAGAGTCTTTACCGGTTCTTGAAGCAGATGTCATGAGCACCCAGACCCCATCTCGCACTCAGGGGGTACATATTGTACTTGAGCGGCAGTACACCCCATATTAAGGGGTCATCTAAACTGTTGGTTCAAGGCTCGTCAGCTCGACACGAGAGACAGGTCTTTACTAAATAAGAAAAAACCAAAAAAAAAACTCACACGCTGATGTGGTTTGAGACTGCAATCCATAGTTGTCAGTTATAAGCTCATCATCTTTGAGAGAATACAACAAGGATAAAGTACCAGTGATGAGACCACGTTCAGGAGTCTCGGCTCGACGCTTGTCCAGAACTTCTAAAAACCGAGCTTGGTTCTCGGTCTGGACGTCATGAAAGGTGTATAAGAAGGCTCGAGAGATGGCACCAGTAAGGCCCATTATAGCCGAAGACGCCATCCGCCATGGTAGGCTTGGCTCACTTGGCCTCTCCTCCAAAGCGGTCATGTTTCTTTTCTATAAGTGTGGCGCGCCGGAAGACAGTCTTCGACCTCGCCGGCCCGAACTGGTGAAATGAGCGAAAGGGATGAAAGTGGCCGGGTGACAGTAGGTGACACGGTGATTGGAGCGAATCAACCGCGTCATAAATCCACCTCTTCGGGCCAATGACAAACACGTGATTAGGAAAGGTAATTGATAAAAACTTCACACGCTGTGTATGAACAGTAAGAAGCAGATTGTATATGCCATTGGCACTCCGAGTTTGGCTGTCGATTGGAATCCAAGATGAGAATCGAGAAAAAAAGCTGTCTTTGCCTTACATTAGAGTGGGTCGCTATAGAACAATCATCTCGCTAAGAGGGTAGACGCGCTCGATACGTGCATATGTATCCGTACCGCAGATACAGCTCAGGGCGCCTGGACCATGTTCCCTGTCACTTTGGGGTGTCTTTCTGCTTTGCCTGGACAGTGATATCCTGACCTGCCTCGACTTCACTCGTCTATCTCGTTACCTTGCTTTGATACGAAGCACCTGCTTGACTTCTTCACAACCCACCACCTCATCCTTCAAGCCAACCAAATCGAGAACCCAAAGTCATCGAATAACAGAGCGTTCATACGACGCTTCTTGTTTTGCGCAACTTTTGTAGCTTTGTCTGTCTCGCCAAGTTCCTTGTCACAATCAACACCATGGCACACAGTAAGCCTCAACCTTCAAGTTCATCCATCATGTGTATTTGTTCATGGTTCTGACCACCTATAGGCAAAAGAAACACGTCGCGTAGCGTCTTCACCTCTTATGAGCGTGATATGGCCAAGGCTGCGTGGGCATCCACCTCAGCCCGTTTGTCGCGGGATTCCTTTCTCCCCTTTGGCTCTTGCTACCTCTGCCTTGAGATGGCTAGGGATCCAGTCTCATGTAGTCACGGCGACATTTTCTGCCGAGAGTGCGCCGTGGCCAATCTGCTCGCGCAAAAGAAGGAGATCAAGCGCGAAGAAAAAGTTCGGGAGAAGAATGAACAGGCGACCTTGGAGGCGCAAGCACAACAGGATGCTGAAGCCCAAGAACGTGCTGTCAAGGACTTTGAAAGTATTCAAGCAGGGCTGAAACCGTCGGCTGCGGCAACTGCATCTTCATCATCCAGTCTATCGGCCAAGGTCGAGGGAGCCGACCCCGACACCACCAAAGACATTCAGGTCACCAAGAGAAAGTTTGTGCTGGACCAGGACGAGTTGGACAGAATTGCCAAGGAGGATCGCACGAAGGCCAAAAAGTTGATTAAAGACGAGAAAGTATGCTACCATCTACCCTAGACCCCGATTATGCAGCTGTGCCTTGCTGACTCTATCTAGGCATCCAAGGAGAGTATACCGTTCTTCTGGACACCAGGGCAAACACCAGATGCCAACGCAACTCGTATGGCCGAGGGTTTGGCAGCCGCCCCCAAAAAAATTAAGCTTGCGCCCATCTGCCCGGCTTCGGCAGACGACTCTCGGCACTCCTTCTCACTCAAGAGTCTGACTTCGCTCGAATTCAAAGAAGAGCTCGACAGCAAAACCAACTCCAGCCGGCGCATTTGCCCGTCCTGTGTCAAGACACTCGGCAATGCCTCGCGACCTCTCATGTCCGAAAAGTGCGGCCACGTCATTTGCCGCAACTGCGCTGTGAAGTTCATGACACCGCAAGAAAATGCATGCTATGTGTGCGATGCTAGGCTTCCTACGGTCCGCCCAGACAGCAAGCAGAAGGAACCTAAGCAGGAGTTTGCTGGGCTGATAGAACTCAGGTCCGAGGGCACCGGGTTCTCCGCTCGGGGAGCAAGCAAAGTTGAGAGGAGTGGCGTCGCTTTCCAATGCTAATACGGCCATGCTCATGACCTGCATACCATGGTCCATGTGAATTGGAGATGGCACTGTCCACACGCTGCTCATTGGCATGACTGTTTTGTATACTCCAGAAGGCTCTCAGAGACAGTCACGCAGCACTAAACGCTCATAGCCTCGGACCGACGAGAAAATGAACAGAACTTTCATCGAAGTCTGAGGAAAATTCGTCTCAGGTGCTGCAACTTTATATCGCGCGACTGTCTCCGTGACAGGGACACCAATAGAAGACCAAGGCGAATGACGAAGGTGTGAATGACGCCTTTCGATACCATCGTCAGGCCATGACTGAAAAAGCTCTTGAGCACTTCGCCCTGGAGCCCGGCGTATAACGCCCTCATTCCGTCAGTTCTGGCAATAGACAAGACGATGGCGAGCACGCTATTATCAAGCGCCTCCTTAGTCTTGGCCAGCGCACCTGGGCTAGAAGGCTCCTTGCTGAGGTCCTCAACACGAGGCCTTTCTTGGGAATCGGTGCTCCTCCGCGGCGAAGCAGTACCGCGCATCTGTAGTCTGGCCTTGGCGGTCTGTATGGGGTAACTGATGATGGTTGCAATAGACTTGCTTGCAGCAGCGAGGAGGAATGTAGTGTGCGTGTTATGCGAGGCTTCGTCCGAGTCCGGGAGTAGGGTCTTTCCTAGCTTTTCGTTGAGGAAGAATGTGATGCTAGGGTTGATGGTCAACAGCAACGACGCGGAATAGCCGGCCCAGAGACCAGCCACACCGTTTTCCGCGCGAATCGACGAGAGTATCTCCCATACCGACGCGTCCCCGCCATCCTCGTTGCCTTCAATCATTGCCGATGTCTGTTTCCTCGCGACCACGTTCGCAATTGGCGTCGTGCAGGCCCTCGCACAGGCGCCCGCCAACGCGCCCACGGCTAATTCGTCCAGAACCGACAGCCGTTTCCCGCGCGAGCGCCGGCGGGTGCCTCGAAAGTACTCGTAAAAGAGGAAGAAGAGGAACGAGTCCGCGATGGACTTGAAGACGTCCTGGGCGAGACCCGTATAGAGCGCCGATATGCCGCCTTCTTGCGCCGTGATGGCTCTCATGGCCTGCACCACACCCTTGTACTGGTCCTTTTCGGAGATCGCATCTTCGCTTCGCAGCTGCCGTTGGACTTTGAGGCGTGTGGTCACGAGGTCGAGGGGATACACTGCGGCTGTCGAGAGGGCAGTTCCAAGGGCGCCTGCGAGGGCGTGGCCCAAGGCATCGAGGACGCCTGCGGGCGCCATGGTCTTGGGGAAGTAGTATACGACTTGAAAGGACGAATCAACGGTATTCAACTATGACAATAAGAGGTTTCGTAGAAGTAACTAGAAAAGTGACGAAGTAAGAGTGACCGTAGGTCGGCGCAGCTCAGTAGATCCTTGTTCTTTTCTTCGGTGTGTGTGTGTAGCTAATTTGCAATGCGAAATGCGTATAATGTAAGTGGCGAAGGACCGAGACCAGCGAGCATGAAGATCGAAGACGACGGCATTTCCTTTCGTCAATGGGACAGATGTGTAGTACCGAGGTCAGCTCGGCGCCGATAGTGATTGCGGTCACGGCGAAAATCCGGGGTAAACTAGCCTGGCTACAACGACGTCATCATCGCGTGAAAGTGTTGTAGCGGCGCTATTCCGCAGACGGCGCAGACGGGGGTAGCTCTAGATGCGTAAAATAGCAGACCCACCGGCCGTCCCATATGTACAATCCCAGCTCCATAGCTTAATTATAATTTCATGTGCCTCACAATCGACGGTTCGCAATCTGGGATTTGGATGGCACTTCTACGCCATGGGACGCGGAGGGGTTAACTTGATTATTGTTACCCATGCTTTCATGACCTGGAAGTAGCAGATTTAGTTTTTTTGACTTGCCATCCTTTGCGTCTTACGTCCGAAACGCATCCTTCATATGTATACACATTCGCTGCTACCATGCCACAAGTAGCAGCGAGAGATCCCTAGTGCAGAACCCAACAAACGCCGCTGCTGAAAGAGAACCCAATGAGCAATTCGAGTACACGGAAAGGGGAAAGATAGAAGCGACTTCCCCTCCGCTGCGATCACTTGGTATACCGCCCAAAATCATAACGCCGTCCGTCCTTGTCGTTAAAATTGCAGGAGACCGTTCCATCACACGAAGAAAATTTGACGGTGCCCCCGTCTGGCAAAAATGTCTAAAGATCATGACAGGCGAGCCTCTTTCCTGCAGCCTCGCCTTCAACATACTATCCTCTGCTTGTTACAGACGGCCGTCGTTGAGGATGGCTTTGCATGCTGAAGCTGGAAGACCTGCGGGCGCCTCCAAAGTTCACGTCGTCAAGCTCGCCAGGTGCGTCCTCCGTGTCGTTAAGTCCTGGATGACCTTGGGGTAGTCTCTGCGCCCCAAACCCGTTGACTTTGAAAATGTTCGTTCTTCCACCATTCGTCGCCATTTGTAGCTGCTCGTGAAGTCGAGCTAGCTGGTACTGCCTTTTGATGGGTATGAGGACTGGTTGCGGCACCACAGGTTGCGGGTTCCAATGCGCCAGCGCACTCATGACAGCGGCCGTTTCTTCGTCCGAGTCGACCGGCCCGGCGTTAGCTTCATCTTCGTCCTCTAGTGGAGCATTGGCGTCGAGAGCAGCCTCTATAACCATGTGTTGTCAGTGAAATTCTCCCTAAAATCTATTCAAGGAGCCACGTACTCTGCTGTTTGGCCTGGTTCTTCTTCTGGTACGCCGCAAGAAGCATGTCGTAAGGAAGAGATCTACCCGCAACGGCACGTTTTGCGCCCATGCTATGGCTTTTGCACGTAAGAGATCTTGCGCAAGGCTGACCGTTGGGTAGCAGAACACCACACTGTCGTTCGACGTCCACGGGACCTGTCCATAGTTAGAAATCAGGGGGGAGATCCCAACGACACAACCGTCCATACCTTTCGGCTTCGGGGCCTTTGGTTTTGGTTCTTCCTTCTTCTTCTTCTGCTTAGGCCCCTTCTCCGCGTCTCCATCTGCCTTGCGCTTCTTTCCCTTGCCGGTATCACCGTCGGTTTTCTTTCCCCCGGTCTTCTTTGCAGTTTTGTTGCCGGTAGCCTTTTTGCCGTCGCCGCCGTCTTCATCACCGTCACTGTCATCGTCGCCTTTGCCATCAGGATCCTCGTCTGCCTTTCTGGCTTCCTCTTCACGTGCAGCTTCCTTGGCCCGCTCGCGGGCCTCTCTCGCCTCTTTTTTCCGCTGAGCCTTCTCCTTCTTGAGCTTGAGACACGCGGCGATGTGGGTCTTGGCGGCTGTTTTAAGGATGCTCTTCTTGCAGTGCTTGCATTGTTGCAGGTCAGGGGTATCCTCCAGTGGCCGGCCAGTAGCAAAGGCTTCACGCGCAATGTCGTCGAGGGGGTTAACGACGGGTCCAGGAGAAGCGACAGATATCGATGCAGAGTCGTCTTTCTTTGGTTTCTTGTCTTCTGGTGCTCGCATCGGTCAGCCTCCCAGCCTAGTATCCGTTACGCGATTCAGTCGACTCACCTTCAACAATGCTTCCTTCTCTCCAATTTCCAGGCTTATTGTACTTGGGGGCAGGTTTCTTGAGCTTGATAGGGCCGTCGGGCTTGTTCTTGTGGTCCTTCTTCGATGCGACCTTGATCGTCTGCTCGTCGTCTATATGCGCGATTGGTGGTTAGTGTACGGTCATAGCTACGCCAGAGTACGAGGATGCGGGCACATTACTCTTTTTGGAGTCGGAAACGGCGGCCATCTTGTCTGTAGGCTATTGCGCCTAGTGAGGCGGTTTGATGCGGTGATGGCGGCTGAGTGCGATGCGATCGCGATGGAGGGGTCTCTATGGGTGGTGATGTGCGTGGCGATGGGCCACTTTGGCGACGGAAACGCAAGTTATCAATGTCCGGCGATGAAACTCTGCCGCGAGCGTCACGTCATGGCACAAGACCTCAGAGAGATTTCGAGCGTCTCATCGGATAGTAGGCAATGTGATGGTTGATGAAATAATTGCGATGCGCCGCGCCCTGGCCCTATCGTAGCCGTCGAATGTCGTCGTCTGGTCGCCTTTGGTTGGGTAAGGTAGGAAGACGGGGGCTGTCCCAGTGGAGGTCACGCGTGGGAGCCTCGGGTCTCCACATGCAAGAGCTCATAGGCCATCTCCCCGGCATACCGTGCTAACAAGCTGCACTTAACGTAATGCGCACTGCTGACATATCAGAACCTTGGAACAGGGTTCCTCATTTTCAGATGCACAAATTCTTTTAAGGTCCTCTTCTTCTACTATTTTAAAGCATATACCGTGGAGGATAATGAAACAAACTAATATCGTGAAGGATGCCATTGGCACAATGAATTGGAGGTATCATCAAACGCCGAGGGCCGATAGCATTGAAAATCATTAGCTATGCCGTTAAACTACCTCATCAGGAACCGTTGCAACCCATCCTAACACTTGGTCTGCCGCTCACGACGTTGCTTCTGAATTTACGTCACAACAGAACTTCCTTAATTGGCCATGCCTTTTTTCATCTCGGGAGGAACGAAGCCCTACTTCAAAACCGATGGTATCAACCAGCCATACCTGGCCGCTGCCCCGGACCCTTGCTAAATCGTTAACATGAAAAAAACCATCCTGATTTCCCTAACCCCGTTGCGCCGTTTCCCTTTTCCGTCCCATGATCCCGTCTACCAGTCATCTGCCAGTATCCCAGCTGCGCCAGTTCTCAGCACCGTGTCTTCATGCGCTCGCATGGCTTCCATCATCGATCGTGCGTGCAACATCCCCATGTCACCCCAGATTGTTTGGATGATTCCCAACGCCCATTCCCAGTAGTCTTTGGGCACCCCAGGAGCGCAGCCTGCCACTTTGAGGTGGAATAGCAATGCCGGCAGTCCTGCTGATCCAGCTCCTCCTCCGCCGGGACTTTCCACTGTTATCTGAGCCGGTCCGTCTAGAGCCGGGTGTCGCCAATGTGTCGGCGCACTAATGAGTATATCCCTCGCCAAATGTCGAATCACGTTCAGAAACTCGTCCCGCGCTGCCGCTGATACCAGCGATAGACTGGACACGGGATTCTTATTCGTCAGATCCAGCAAATTCTGGTTGACCAGGATCCGGCACCATCGGTAATAATTCCAGATGCGAGCGGTCCAGACGTCGTGGTATTTGTGGTATTCGTACTGGAATACTGCTTTAGGAGGGAGATGGGTGGCGTGAACGATGCGGTAAATCCAGTCTCCCTCCAGTCCATTCTCCCACGAGACCAAGTCTTTATCAAGATCTAGAAGCTGCTGAATAACGCTGGCCGTTTTGGGTCTTCCGTCGCTTATGACATGGTTGTGAATAATTGACGAGGTTTCGACGAATCGAGCAATCAGAACGGCTAGGTCGGTCGATGGTCTATCGATGGGCAGCTGGAGTTGCGAACCGTAAGAAACCCAGTCGTAAAAGTCCGGTGGCATGGGCATGCCGGCAACGTGTAGAGGTATGAACTTCAGAAAGAGTCAGTTTCACGGAACAAATCAAATCAGGAGGAGCGGTCTCTACCATCGAGTAGCACAGCTGCAACAAGGCTCTGAAGCCTGCAAAAGGAGCACTGGGCATAGGGCACCAGCTTCTCATCAGCGCAGCCCCGCCCATGACATGGGCATGGACGGTGCTTGTGGAATGATGCGTTCCTTTTACAACCTGTAAGAGGGAAGAACCAGGTCAGCCAATGTGAACCATAGCAACAGTCAAAGGCGCGTAGCCCTAGTTGCAGAAGAGGGCTAAGGGGCGAACCTCAAACATGGCGAGGGCCACCACGGCCCTCATCGTCACATCTATGCTCGGTGTATGTGGAGGCCGGATCAGCTTCCCAGTATGTCGTAGTGCTGAACCATACTTCTCTCGCGCCGTCGACATCATTTTGGCGTTGCCAGTCAGGTTGTGCAGGCCAGCAAGGCCTACAGCGCACATGACGTCCTGTACTGCTGGATGCCATATCCAACCCTCCGTATTCAAGTCTTGGCCGTTTTTGGGTTCATCCGGATGCCCTATCAAGTACCTGTTGACGTAGAACTGCACACCCTGTTCCTCGAGGGTAGGACCTATCTGGAGTGTCGGAGGGCTGGACTCGCGGTTGTGTTCTTTCTTGACAGCCGGGAGCGCTGGTGGTGATGAAGAGCCTGCAGAACGGTACGTTGACGAAGGCGAGGCGGAAAAGGATGCCGAGCTTGATGCTGGCGAAGGTACGTTCGCAGCTCCTGATCGTGACGTAGACCTCGTGTTGTTCGGCGAGCCCTTCCGACTGTAAGAGGGCGAGGAAGCAGGCGGTGACGGAGCTGTCGAGGCCGATGCGCGCTCTGCACCATTCTCAGCACCATCGGTAACTCCCCATTGGGCGTGTGCTTTTTTGATAACCTTGGTGCTCTCATCGCGGAACATGAGCGACAGTTGGTCTCGATACCCAGGGCACTTCTTGCCCACGCGGATGCATTGTGAACATTCGGGTTTCACTTTATCGCACTACAAGTTGATGAGTAGAGTATCCAAGTAAGAGCCTTCCTCAGAACAGCCGCGGCGAGGGTTAAGGGGATCAATGCTACACACCTTAATGCGACGGGTTCGGCAGTTTTGACAGCCCTGAGAGGCTTTGCCGCAGTAGACCATTCTCGAGGTGGATTCTTGGACAACCTAGGCCTGGTGAGATCGCGGGGTCAAAGAATAATTTGTTTTGTTGTTGGCTTGAGTTGTTCGTTTAAAAGAGATGCAAGCAGGAGATTTGGGGGCCGGAGCACTTGGTCCATCACGAGTCGTTCGAAACACTGCGTGATGCCATACGAATCCCGCTTCCTCAACCCCGCGGGCAGAGAATCAGGACGGGCGAGAGGTTGTAGGAGCTCGACAAGTACGGCCAGTGAATCGATATCTTCCGGATATGCCCGGCGATTGAGAACCAAAAGGCTGCGAACTGGAGGCGTTAGACGAGGCAAGAGGAAAGGATGGATAGATGGGACTGCGACAAGTCTTCTAGGAAAGAAGGACGGCTGGTGCGTCTGGTCGCAATGGACCGGGGGGGTTGCTAAGTGGAGGTTTTTGGAGCTGTCCCAACCTTGTACTAAGTTCGCGCGAAGCACGAGCAGTAGAAGATGAAGGGGAGAACAGACAAGAGGGACAGCACTATCCGTAAGGTAGGTACTACTAAGCCTTTTGAGCCCTACCTACGTATGCGGGATGAAAGGCGTTCGTTGAGTTCAGTGAGAGAGGGGAACGCAGGCGACGCAGGCTTGGAAGCTCCCGTCGCGGATCCAAATGACACTAGGGCCGGAGTGGGACAAAGCAGCTGAATCGTCAATGCTTATGAAGCCCGTAAGGCAGGGCGGATGGAAGGCTTGAGTCTGAGTTCTAGGCTTTTTAGAGTGTCTTGTTTTCCGGCTCTGTGACTAGCCCTTCCAGGCTGTGATTGACCAGGCTGAGAGAGGGTAAGTGGGTTGAATTGATGGCCATAAACAGGAGGGGAATTGAGGCAAGGTACGAGAAGGGAAATGCGAGTGGACAAATGAGAAGAAGGCGAAGGTAGGATGAGAAGTAAGGTGTCAGTGAGGAAGGGAAGTATTGTAAATGTTCATACACTGGAGACGCGTATCCGTACTGGAACTGTACGGTACCTCACGCTAGGCAAAGCAAAGCAACGTAGACCCAAGTATCCGTACCTTTGGGATACCTAGCACAGGGCGATTTATGCTACTCCAGCAGCAGGCCCAACGCTGGGGGGACTTGGGGGAGGGGCACCGGACCGCAGCCGTCAGAGCTTTGCATGAGCACGTTCGCTGCGCCTGCACGAGGCAAAGGCTGTGCGGCAAGACAACATGAAGCAGGGTGCCTGACCAAAGTTAATTGATAATCAAATAATGGATGTACGAATAGGTACCTGTCTGCTCGTCGATCAGCGGCCGGTGGGAGAGGCTGAGTGAGGAAGGGGGATCGAGACTGGACTCCTACGCAGTAGAGTGATGTTGGAGACTCGAGGACCGAACCTTAGCTGCTTCGCTGCTCCGCACCCTTCGCACTTTCAGACGCAGCGTGGCAGCATGGCAGCATGGCAGTACTTCGTAGTGTGTCCGTATGTACCGAGTAGGTAGCTCGGACTTGGTAGAAAGCTCCGGGAGAGTGCAGCGGGATCTGTCATCGAATCCCGACCCAGGCTTTGCCCTTGTCATTAGATCCCAAGGACCCAAAACCATCGTCAGTGAGCATTGTAATCGGTACTTTGGTAGGACCCCATGTTGCTTGGCTTAGTTAACTAGCCCTCTATAATGCCTTACAAGGACAGATCGCTTGAGCCACCGACCTGCTTTGCAATGTATCCATGAGGCACGTACGTAAGGAAGGTAGTAAGTAATATGCAATAACACTAAAAAGGTATTTCCATGATGGACTGAAACTTTCCGAAAGGTCGGTCACAGGCGGCCTGCAGTAAGCTGTCGGGCGCTCCTTTTTCTCACCATCGTCTTATTGTACGTAGAGTAGGTATGGACATTCATCATCTTTTGCTTCTGAGTCATGGGCTAACGTTGTGAGCAACAGAGCACTGCCCTTCACGTCGACTCCTATCGTTGTCCGTTTTGACGTTGATGACGTGGGGCTCGGGCCATCGACATGAATATCTGACGCAGGTGCCCGTAGCCCAAAGTATGCCTATGTCACGTTAGATCAAGCTTGGAGGGACCTAGACCTCGTACCGACTTCCACCGGAAGAGTAGGTATGTTCTTTTGTGCGCATTATCTCCCGCCTAGTATCCGTACTGCAGACTCGATCAACATACGGACGATCTAGTCTACAGTGTGCGACGAACAGCCATGCAGTCCAGAGACCTGCAAGTGATGAGCCCAACACTTGGAATCAGCACCACCAAGCTTCTGGAGGCGTACACAAGGCATGCTCTTGCTACTAGTGAAGGCGAAGGCGTCAAAAGCACATAAGCACGCTCCATGCGTCTTCTTCTATCTGACTCTTTCCAAGAAGGCCAAGATATGTAACACTCACCCACTCTAGGCAGGTGAAAACGAAGACGCCGCTCGACATACACTACTGCGTACAGCACAAGGTTCCGTGCCCCCTCGCTGGATCACTATGTAAAACGTGCGTGGGGTGCCAGCGGCAAGTTCCTAGCGTGGCCCCTCTGGTGCCCCAATCAAGACGACGCAGATCTTGCTGCATTACAAATGAAACCGTGACAGACGGCAGCCATTACCTTGCGTGCTTAGCTGTATTCGAATAGCGCTTGTGCAGGGAACGTTTCCCCGGTTAAGCCGCGTCTCGGGGGCCGTAACTCTGTGCCTTACTTGGTGCCATGCGGCAATAGTCCCCTTCACCAATAAGTGAGGTGCTGTACCAGAACATTTGGATCAAGTAGGTGATTGGTAGGTAAATCGGCAGAGTCCTGCTTATAGAACAAGTGACCAAGCTGACGATGGCTGCTATTCAACACCGGCACACTCAAATAGCTGTATGTGACTACTCCATACCTATCTTCACCTCAGAGACTAAGCATACCTCAACCAGGTACGAGGAACGGCTACCTACGGTGTGTGCCACAACGAGGCAGGTTATCCCCGAGAACTGCTGCCCGTGCTGCCCGGGCAGTTCTCCGTTTCCCGTCAGAAAGTGGGCGATCAAGATGAACGGCCCAATCTCGATCAATCATAAGGGTCCCTCTCATGAACCCCGGCTCGTCCATCGGCATCCCTCCGCCTCCCCTACGGCGCGAGATAGCCCGCCGAGAAGTTCGAACCCGCTGTCCGCGCATCGGGGATGTGCTGCACCAGCATGCTGTCACGGCCGAAGGTTGGGTGTGCTGCGTGCAACATGCAGGCCCGTACAGTAGGCTTGCAACATAAACCAATTACCCATCTCTACGGATATCCCGTAATACCCTGTGTGCCTGTGTAACATGTGTCTGCATGTCCACAATCCCAAGTTCATTGCCGGTCACTACAGTGTACAACCACAATTCCTTTAGGCACATTCTCTCTTTTTTGTCAGTCTCAACGGAATGGAGATTTGCTTGTTGGCTCCATATTTCAAGACCCAAAGTGGTGACGATGTACTGAACAGAACCTCGATACGTTGCTGTCTTTGGGATTTCGTCGGGTATAGCTTAGGGCCTCAGGCTGGCCGAGTGGTAGCCTCCTTGCCGTCCTTGCCTCAATGTGAAGACACCGCTTGTTGACAAGCACATTCTAGGTTGAAGGCCACTTGCAAGGCCGATCTGGTGGTACCCGGCTGGTGGTTACAGATCACCGCTACTGGCGAACTTTTGACAGGGTTAGTTTGGAATCATCAACAGCCGTTATTCCAGACTCGGTACTGTCTAGGATGCTCATCTGCAGCCGTAGAGATGTATCGTGTGGCAAACGCGTGAAATTATTATTAATAATGAAGCTCAAAGGCGGAGACCCGAGACCTCGACATGGCTCAGCTCCGAGTTGGGTAAAGTGTAGGACCGTTCCAGACTTTGGCATGCAGTGCAGAGAGACATTGGAGCCAAAAGGAACAATACATACTTACTCCGCAAGCTCCGTAAACATCACTGTTACAACCTAGTCATGTGGCACAAGCATGCTTTGCCTGCCGCGAGTCGCCCCTCCCCCCCTTTGCCCATCCACATCGCCGGATTCTTATTATGTTCCTACTTGAATTGTGGCAGACTAGCAGGCCACAACAGTGCAATACAATGTGATCAGGCTAGTTGCTTCGACCGGAGAGTTTAGGGGTACGATAGCCGTCAACTGGGTCCAGGATGGGTCTTCTCACGGTTGATAAGCTGGGTTTGGGGCGATGTTCGGGGCGATATTAGATGGACGAGTGGTCGGAACGGCACCACTCAGTCATTCAGTCCAAAATGATTGAGGTGGGACGGAGGAATACAATTTCACTCCACTTTCCTGGAGACGTTCACTTTTCTCTGCGTGCCGTCGTTTGTTTATTGAGCTGTCTGGTACTCCGTATCATAATGGATGGGCCCTAAGACACTTTTCGGAGGCTGCTCCGCCTACCCGTCCAAACTTCCAAAGTCTCCCCCAGAGTGTACATCAACTTCAATTTCACTCAAGATGCTTCGCCTCAAAAGCTCAGAGAGCACTTCTCTTGCCACGCTTACAGCTCAGTAAGTTAGAGTATGAAAATCAGACAGCATCTCTCAAGGCATTCTATCCATCTTGCCGAAAGATTCTCCGGGCCAAGAGAACAACCCCTCCAAACGGGTGCATCACTCACCCAAAAGGGCCAGTGTCCCACCTTCCCCTGCAGCATGGGCCCCGGTCTCTCTCTGAAGCAGTTGTGCGGAACTTCGGTGTAACCCGCGATCCAGAGCAGACAATCTCCCCGACTCGGCTCCGGTGAGAAGCAGACGTGGCGCTGCATCTGCGTATACTGCAGTATTATTGTCCTATGAAAAACGGGTAAGATATTCGAGGGTAGGGATGAAGTCGAAATGATCGACATTGAGTTAACCGTACATTCCCCAGCAGAGCGGTCTTTTGGTAGCTTGTATCCGGACGAAGCATAGCGAGCGGTGTTACCCGACATCTGATGGACAAGAATAGTGCTTGCCCTCCATTCATGTGCTCTTTCCGGGTATGTCCTGTTTGGGCGACAGTTCGCAAGCTGATGTCCTTGAGTTCTAACTCACTGCATCTAGTCGCGACCAGATCCTGTAGATTTCGTCTCTAATCAGCTCATGACCGAGGCTCCTCTGTGAGTTTTGTCAGCTGCAGTTTCAGGACCAGCTGTCAAAATGGGAAAGCGAAAGCTTACTGGATGGAAGGTTTTCCCATAATACGTCGGGACATACCACATGGAATTCCGAATCATGACATCCTCTGCGGCAAATTCTAGCGATGGATAGTCGCGTTTAGCTCTCGCCATGTAGCACAGAGCCAGCAGGCCCCAGTCTCCTGATCTCTCGGCCGGGCCCAGGCATGTCTCCGGGTCCGCGAGCGGTGACAACGGAGACAAGGTTTTGCTCCTCGGACCACTCTCGGTGCTCGCCGTTGTACGATTTGGGGCCGGCGTCGGATCCGTTACATTTGGGTTGTTGTCTTTACCTCCGACGAGGAAGAACCAAGTCTCTGTCCTGTTGTACGCTGGTTCCATGACGCCTGGTTCGCAGAAACGATGCCCTTCGAACTTGGCATCGTAGTCAACGAACAGAACCTTTGGGGTCGTAAACCTCGAGTTGACGGCTTCGATGGAACTTCTCAGTTTCTCATTGACTGCCACGACCATGTCATTCATCCTCTGGCGTACGTCCCTCTTGAGTTTTGGTCCCTGCCACCAGACACCGAGGGTACAATTGTCGCACTCATCAGTCTCCACGCTGAAGAACCGAGCATAGCCGGTCACGGTAACGATGAACCACGGCCGCTTCTCCCACTGCACTGTGTCCAGTATCTCCATGATGACCATCTCCAGGCGCTGCGCGAAATCCGAACTCTCGATCTGATCGGTTACGTACTGCAGTGCTGTCTCGCAACTGCCAGAGTTGAAGCTGTAAAAGCGGAATATGCAGGCATTCATCACGGAGAAAAAGCCAAGGTCGTTGCCTCCGATAGAGAGTACCGCGAAGTCAGCATTGATCGACTTGTTGAATTTGTCAACCTGGCTGTGATCGCCGCCCGATAGAACGTTGCTGGTGGTCGACCCGGTACAAGACAAGAACTGAAATGTTGCTGTTCCTGGGGCTTGGCTTTCAGTCAGGTCGGTGAAGATCAAGACTGGATATGCGTGGGATCCCAGCCTGCATTCGTTCTCGACACCATCAACGCCGGTGCCGATGCCGGCACTATACGAGTCACCGAACGCAACAAACCCAGGCGGATGTTGGGACTGTCGGCGGTCGCTCCAGAGCGAGTGTTTGAAGTAATCAGGCGAGCGCGCTATCAAGAGTCTCATTAGACCGTCTGGGAAGCTACGGTATTTGTAAGGAATTTGGGAGACATGCCTTTGTCGGAAGACAGCAGTACGTGTTGGTCTCTAGGATATTCTTCAAGAGATACAACTTGTGGCACTGCGGAGACCAGCCTAGCTCCCGCCAGCCAGCATAGTCCAAGAATGGTAGGTGTTGTGGGAAGCATATTGAAGTTCGTGACAAGACAGAAAGGTAGCTGATACTAGATCATCGCACGCCAAGGCGGACTTTGATGTGTGAATATGAATCCATTCATTCGAGGTATTGCACGAGTTGTAGAAAGCTATGAGAGGCACAAACAGGGACTTGTAATCTAGGAGTTGTGGACAACGGTACATATCTTCTAGAGGGAGCAGCAACGGATGACATGCCAGGCGGCGCAGCGTCAGCGTGACTGGTGATACGCTTACCTCAGCCATTTTAGCTTGTTGAGAGAAAGGGCGTTGGACCAGTCACTTGAACGAATGGCTGCACGAGGGACAATTCCGGCCGATGGCAGGTTCTCCCATTTCAGACAAACAGAGGTCGTGCTTGTCCCACACCTACTCAGTGATAGAGATATCGCAGGTGACACACGTGCTGTCTTATTTCACTCCCCTTTTCACTTCTTCTTTCCCCGGTGTCATGATTACGGAAGCGGCTCCGAAGCTGGGTCTTCGGCGGAGTGGACGGGAATCGCGGCCCCTTCGGCACATATTAGTCCGTCACATTTGTTGAGGCCGGTTATAACGGAATCCTCTCTACGGACTACGATGCTGGTGTAGCTTCACAAAGGAGCCTTCAACATGAGGTCCTGCGCTTCATTTTGGGACGCCATGGTGTGCGAACAAGGGCCATTGGTCATTCTTCGGTCCATTTCTTCATCTCGACTTCTAGCTTATTGGCGTCCCGACTTGGCTTGCATGTGAAAAGAGGAGCTACGGCCTTCTAGTGTCCTGGCGAGACAACTTTACCGTCCCATATTGCAAGCCGTGACATGCGAATTTTCAGGAACATCTTGCCAGCCAAGGCCAAGCTTTGAGAGTCCGGGGCAGTTTGCGGGATGGCGTGTCAGGGGCTTCAATTTGGTGGGTGAGGTGGATTATTATGTATGCTACCAATGCGTCCTATAAAAGCTTACCTTCCCCTCGTCAACCAATTATCTCATTATGCTGTGAGATAATTGTCGATTATCGTAGAAGTTTCCAATAAGGTAGACACTGTAATGGTTCACTGCTGACAAGATTGCGCCAGATATTCAAAGGTCGAGACCTCTGAAGTGGTACCTTGGGAGCGGGTATTCGTGGGCACCTGCCGAGATCAAAATAGCCCGGGGCAGTGACGTAATCGCACCTTTTGCTGCTTCCCGCCCAGCCTGGTTTCCCGTGACTGCACTTCCAACCGCGCTCAACGTCATAGCTTCCTCTGCATCCCAGGCTCGTCAACCCCGCCAGCTGCTGATCGCCAGATCCCGCCCGCTACCTTCCCCGTTAAACTAAGGTAGATGCAGGCAACACAATGTTGACTTGGCAATTTGGTGGGCAAGATGACGACCTTCGCAAATCAACTCGTTAGTTCCATGCCCGCTCGTTGGCTGGTCTTCCCTACATGTGCCACATCGGGAGCCACCGCAGCTCGTTCGTTTGCGCCAGGTTTGACGTGATCTCGTCTAGTCTCTCCGTGCTGGGCTACTACCAGCCAATCCAACGTCGCAGATGAGCTCATTTGCATCTGTTCTAACCGGTCGTACCTTGCCTTGCTTTGACAATGTCCAAGCCACCTTTTCTTCCTCGTTTCTTACGTGCGGCAGAGATACCTCCCACACAAGAACCAAGGTGTGGCTGCTAGGATGTACATGCCTGGATAACAATGGCATTAGCCTGGTCAGACCCCTCATTTGTATTCTCTCGCGTCACTTTGAGCAATCCATTGGCTGCGAGGCATGCGTGTGCCGCTAGCGAGTCCAGCAGGATGGTATAGTTGGACAATTCAAGGCCAAGATATATCTGTTTCTGTCTCGAGCCGTCGTACCCGTTAGTTACGTTACCACGTTGACTCTTGCCCTCCGGGAGGGCAGAGCAGTACTTGCTTACCCCGTACCTAGCCATCCCGTTTGTTGCGTGCCCACCCCAGCCGTCCAGGTATGCCATTGTGATGTGTTTGCTATCGGAGGCAGGCGGGGAGAAGCGAGGCCCAAAAGACGTCAGACCTGCAGGCTACCTACTTGCTATTCAAGGCCTCCCACGTATACCTTATAAGACACCGCTTTGCCCAGCCTCACCCCGCCTTCTTGGAGTACTCACTTACATCTAAAAAACGAACAAGCAATCGTCCATATTGCCCAGACCACTCAGGACTACATCTACAAGCAGTTGTGCAAATTGCAAAACACAAAGACTTTCACATCAACACACAGCACCCACAGATCAATATGGAGACCATTAACAACATCGCGGGCGCGGCGAGCAAGGCCATTTGGGGAACGAACGAAGCCAACCAAGAGCCTGTATCTGGCGTCAAGGGCAACACTAACCAGGGTGAACCGTATGACGCTGGCAATATCGGTATGCTATTATCATGGAGTTTCGGCTCTTAAGCCCGCTCATATAAATGCAATTCTGACTTCCACATAGAAGACCCCTCGAACAAGGAGAAGAAGGCTAACGTGGCTGATGCTCATACCACTGAGCCGGCGACTGGATCAACAGCAACCACGACTACTGGGCTTTCTACTACCACTGCCCCAACCACAAGCACTGGTACGACTGGTACGACTGGTACGACTGGTATGACTGGCCCTGAGACTGGAAACGAGCACAGCTTGATCGACAGATCGCGTGCTACCGAGGAATCCACGACGCACAAGGCGACAGAGGAGCTGTCCCCGAAGCACAAGGAAGAAATCGGCAAGCCCGAGCTCAAGCACACATCACCCAACGAGGTCCCCTCGGCCGACAGCGCCGCAGGAAAGACTGAGACGCGCGCCCCCAGTGATCCGGCGACCGACCCTGTACCCAAGGGACAAGACGTCAACAACAGCGCGTCCGGTCCGACTAGTGGTGGTGATAAGCTTGACGGCCCGGGCCCGAGGCCCCTGGAGGCCGTCGCCAAGGAGCGCGGCGGTGATGCTGGCAATGTCAAGGGATCCTCGAAGGGTGGCCTCATCGGAGGGGAGGAGGCCAAGTCTGACACCGAAGACAAGAAGGAGGAGGATCCAAATGCCAGCCACGGCGAGGAGGGCACAGGCGAGAAGCTCGTAAAGGCTACCGGACTAGCTGCCGATGGTGGCGATTTTGATGCGACGAAGCCTGGCGCTGGCCGCGAGGCAGATCGTAAGTGTAGACCTCTTGATTAATGGTGGTAACAAGATTGACTAACAGTTTGTCCAGGTCTCCTAGATGAGAAGGATCCCGCCCACGCTGCAGCCAAGGCATCTGCCAAGTCCGGCGCCGACAAGACCAGTGATAAGACGAGCGAATCTCACAGCTCCAGCACCGGCACTGGTACGGAGAAGGAGAAGGAAAGTCTCAAGGACAAGATCAAGGCCAAGCTTCACCGTCACTAGGAGGAGATAGGTGTGCCGACTTCTCTTTCATCATGACCATTTTGTATCAACAACGACTTCTAGCACCAGCGCCGGAACACGACCATGACGGCTGTTTAATGACTTGTAGTACCGCATGATAAAGTTAATAAAATGACCGCAAGACAAACATTATTGTGTGAAAAGTTCCTGCTCCAATTTGATACCAAGACCATGCTCTCTCAATCGATGGCCTGGAGATGGATGGGCATCTCCTAGAAGAACCAGTTGCACATACATTGGCCTGGTCAGCCCTTACATGCTTCTCACGACTCTCATCATACGTGTCTCCTGGCCTCCCACATTCTTGTTCCTTCAGCTTCTTACATATACACCCGATATCAACCAAGCATGGCTCTCACAGCATTCGTGAACGCCAATATTGGTATCACCGAAGAAGGCTTGCTCTAACAAGGCGCATTGTTGGACGGTTCAAGGGCACGTATGATTCTGGCATACCACCAGGGTGACGATGGATCTCGGTGAATGGTTCTCAGGGTCTTTTCTGATTGATATTATAGAAAAAAGTCACGACCCCATAAAGGGGGGGTTGGGGGGTTGATGGCAAACGGGCCGACTGGCTCAAGTTCCACGCCCAATTCCAACATCTGCTTACATCTTATGATGCCAATGAAGTTTTTTCCAGCTCGACACATTTCGTCCTAGAAAACCATATACCAAGATGAATCTCACGTTCACGCTTCACCGGACGCCGTTTGAGCTTTTTTTCTTTCTTCCGTTCTTTTTCCGGCTGGCTTTCATTCTCAAACGTCGGTTTCCTTCATATCGTTCATTGTTCCTGCTGGCTTGTGTACATGTTGACCATGTTCGAGTCAAGTCGTGCTTTTCCAACAGCGCCCTTGCTATGGTATGGACGGGAACCCGTTGACCAAAATGCAGGGCAGTGTACTTATTAAGCCCATGTCGTTATATCGTTCAATCTCAACATGTCAGTTATTCCTTTCTGAACGAGGAACAGCCGACCTAATCCCCCCTCTTCTGCATGGAACAGGTGTCTCCGTTCAGCACTATCCCGTCGAATGTATCATCCAACGGCTAAAGGATCACTATGGCGACCAAAGTCCTCTGCGCTCACATGGTGAGAAAGCTCTGAATCTGAGATTAGGGCCACCTCATCCGTAGTTGGCACCTAACCCAAGCTCTGATATTTCATCACGACCATGGCGGACCGCCTCGAAGGGCTCGGGCTCATAATTTCAATGAACGCCTGGTGCGCCTCGAGTATACCTTCGAAGCGTGTAACGTCCAAACCTGTCGAAGGCCTCTGATCATGCTGGGATTGCCGGCGTGAATGAGGCACGATAGAATTCTCTCTCCATTCCAATAATCGCCGATCATAGGAAGCCAGATTCAGCAAGAACTCTGTTTCAGAATTAGTTAAGGTAAAACAGAGTCTCCGATCGGAGACCTTGGTTGAATACTCAGTGCCACATACCTCACGATCTTTTCATCTTCGCGCTCGCGTGGTTCTACTTGCAAGCTCTTGTCGTACATCTCGTGCACATCTCCGGCAGCTTGCATATTACTTATTATGTAATCTTGCAGCTCTGGGACAGGCTGCAGTGAGTAGCCAACAGCTTGGTACTGTTGGATGTCACGGATCACTTCCGCCGTCTTCGCCCGCTTGGCAAAGTTGATGAGATTCGTCTTCTTTATAATGGACGGGATTCCGTCCTCAATGAATGTCAGGTCGGTAAGGTAGACACCTGCAAGTACAGGAGTATTAGCACCGGCTTTGAGGCTTCTGTTAGAGGTATTACGCACCGAAGAAGGGAATACAAGGCGGGTTTGCCACGTGCAAAGCCTCTCTGTACTCGCCAAAGTTCTTTGTACTGGCCATGAGCTTTCTCATGGTCTCCAAGACACCCTGAGTTCTTTGTGGTACTTGATCCCAAGTTCTCTTCAAGCGAGCAATAGGCGCTGTTCCGAGAGCTGAGATGATTGAGGTCAGTGTAGAAAAGTTGTTGAGACTGCGGCATTTCTGCGGACTGTTAGCTTCAGAGTCATTTCATAGTAGTAGATTTTACTCACGTCTGCAACAGAAACAAAGTGCTTGATTACGATCACACGCTTCTTCACATCCATCTGAGCCAAGATCATCTCCGCCACCCAATTCGTCATTTGGTTGGAGTGCAGAATGAGCGCCTTGACGTTGGGTGCCGGTTCCGGCTCTCCTTCGCCCACCTTCTTTTGCCATGTCTTGTTAAGACACTCTGTAGGCTTGATCTTTCCATAGAGCCTTGACTCAATTATGGTGAGCTGGCGAGCAAATTCCGTCACATCGATATCCAAGAACTTGAGTTTCTTCATATTCTTGGGCATAATGGGTGATGGCGTGTTTTGGTTGAGCGTCTGTACCATCCGACGGGCTCCAGCTTGCTGGCCACTGAGCCGTTGATCCAGGACAGCCATTAGCGGTGCAGAGCCTGGAGTCTCTGTAGACTTGACGGTGTCCCTCGCAAAGGTGTAAACATCTCGAATGAGCTGCTTTGATTCCTCGTTATGCTCTTCCATCCAGAAGTTATCAAACCAACTCTTCAGAATATTGACGACTCGGAAGCGAATGAGTTTCTGTTTCCGGTCTCGCCAGGCCTCGAAGTCTGATTGAGAGAGACCTTCTGGTGGTTGAATGCCAAAGCGATTCACAATCAGTTTGAAAAGATCTTGAGCGGTCGTGAAGGACCTGTATGTAAGCAGGAATGTGTTGTTGAAGTTTGAGTCAAGCTTGTCGTGTCGTGTCAGTTGCTCGACTAGTGCCTCCAAAGTACCACCCTTCACAATGGGCGGCGTCAGCTTGTTGTCCCAGGCAAGATCTGGCTCATGGTCCAGTTTGAGGAACTCAGGCGTATCATCAACAGGAGGCATGTTGCTCTGAGGGTTGGGGTCGTCACCCAAAATTTTCTTAACCTTTGAGTAGTCGCCTCCTCGGAAGTTGCCAGTGCTCTCTCCCTCTGTAAAGGATTGTGAGGTGATCATCGGGGGTCGCGATGCTGCGGGAGTGGTTCGCGATTCCGTGCGCTGATGGGGTCTGTCGTACGGAGCAGTCTCTCCCCGGCGAAGTTGTTCACGCTGCATAACGTCTTCCCGCTGTCTCGAGTCGACTTGTTGCTGCATGTTAATCTGCACCTGTTCAGACAACAGCTGCAAAGAAAAGCCGATGTGCGAGGAATTCGTCTCGAGGGCCTTGGCACATTGTCGGACATAGTCTAGTCGGTTCTCGAGGGCCTCGCCTCGAACCTCAGCCCATTCATCGGCTAGAGGTCCGGCCACGGCCTGGCAACCTAGCAGCAGATCCGACATGTTGTCGTACAGGCTCTGCTTGTTGGCGGCGAAGTCTGCCAACTGGGGCGTTTGGAAACTGTTGCCCAGGGATGAAAGGTCGATAGACTCGATGAGTGCAATCCAGGGCTTGAACGTCTCCAAGACCTTGCCTCCCGCCAAACAAACGTTGTTTCCAATGACTTCGTGCTTGAAAGGTGAAGTGATCTTGTCCGCTACAACCAAATTCTTGTCCAGTTCTCTTATGCTGAAAACAAGCATCCGTTTGAGCTCGTCTAGTCTCTCGAGCTGCTTGCCATCTAGAATTGCCGTGGGCTCGACCACACCCTCTTCATCTTCCAGGAAATTCGCGGTGATGGGATCGCGGGTGCCCAGTCCGTTGTTCTGCCAGCTGCCGCCAGTAGAACTTCCGATGACAAACCCAGGGAAAAGGCGCGGGATCTCCTCTCCTCGTTGTTGACGGGCAATTTCGACATAACTGAAAACGCCGAGTAGCACTCCATCGGCTTCTTGGAGACACTTCTGTACAGATTCGGCATTTGGCCAGTCAGCAGCAGCAATGTGAGATGAGATTACGAGCTTCGAGAATTTCGACATCATGTCTCTGAAGTGAGGATACAGGGCCTTGTTCGTGGAAATAATGGAAGGCTGGCCAGAGTGATTATCGGTCGTGCCAGATCCAGCAGCCAGAAGTAGTCTCAGGTGGTCTGAGATGTCCTCTGCGCGCGCAACATATTCGGAACGGTTGCCACTCGTAATCGCATCGCGGTAACGGTCAACAGCCCGGCGCATGTTGGAAACGAGGCGAGTCCAGGTCAACGGCGGCGCTGAGCCATCATCGAAAAAGGAACGAGGCACGGTGCTGGTTGGCGGCGTATTGTAAGAAGTGCTGGTGAACGAGGTTGCTGATGCAATCATTGGGGTTGCGTTGGGTGCCAGGTTCGGGTTCAGGTACGCACCGTCCTTCTGCCGGGTGACAGGCGCGGTACCGTTCATCGAGTCCATCGAAGTGGAGGGCGAGAGCATTTCACTACGAGACCGACGATTACGAGGCTACCATGCACATACACTGGTCAGCAAAAGCAACCCAAGGCGGTGCAAGCTTTGCGCTATGAGCTCTTACCAAAGATCCACGAGATGCGAGCATCAAAGACTCCCCCTCCAACTCGGATGCGGAGTTTGCTTCCGAGTCTTCGTCCTCATCTTGCGTCAGGCCCCTAGCCATCATCTCTGGTGGTGGCCGTGTCTTCTCAGGGACATTGACGTTTATTCGGTTGCGGGGTCCCGTCTCATTGGTTGATACTGGAGACTCCAAAGGCAATTCCATGCTTCGATCGCCCGTCATCATATTGTAGTAAAATAGGCGCCCGTCTGGGGTTGCTTGCGGGATCCAGAAGTCGGCCCGTGATTTGTCGCCGAGGTCCGTACCCTCGAGAGGGAGGCCGCTGGCATCGTCCAGTTCCGACTCGTCATCTTCTTCCAGCTGCTCATCGTAGACCTCCTGATTGTCCTCGTCGTCGTCAACATGATCAAGGTCGCCGTTTTGGTCATGCTCGGGGATTTCGTCGGGACTCGTAACAATTTGGCAGTAGTTACTCGGAAACCAACCACGCACACCATTGATAACGCCGTCCCACCATCCGCTTTCCAGCTGTGTTATAACCTGAATAACGTCTCCCTCGTGGAAACTGAGACTCGTACGGTCGTCGGCCTCGTAATCGTACAAGGCGCGGACGTACATGGTACCGGGCGGGGCAGTGCCAGCAATACCGTTCATTATGGACGAGGAGGAAGGAATAGCCTGTGAATAGGGTGAGAAAGCTTGGCCGACGCTGGAAGAGTCCAACGCCGGTTGGGAAGGGTAGTAGTTGGTAGCGTCGTGATTGAGGTTTTCGCGCGAAGGCTTTTTGCGGGAATTGTAGTTGTTGTTCTGACCCTGGAATAGTGCCGGCACTGCGGTCTGTGTCATCAGCATGATGAGGCGGTCGCGCTGATAACCCAAGGAGGGGAAAATGGTCAAGTCATGATCCGCGCACGTCTACTCTGTTGTTGCTTGGACCTTTTCGGCGGCGGGGGTCGGCGAAGAGATGGGTTGAAATCGTCAATCGTAAGGAGTCGTGAAGAAGAAAGCAGAAGAAGGCGTAGTCAGATGGAGGGAAGCGACGAGTTGTTGAGTTGCAGAAACCCACAATCTAGGAGTCGCAGGTTTGGAGCCGGGGGGTAAAGTTGCGGGGGCGACGTTCGTCTCGTCTGGCAACAGGCGCAGCCGTGTGTCGACGAGGTCGGTGGATTTTTTTTTTTTGGCGCAGGCGCAGGCGCAGGCGCAGGCGCAGGCGCTGACTGACAGTGAACAGTTGGCTGCTGGGTCGGTTGTCGCGTTGAAGAATTGGAAAATTCGAGGCAGCGATCGCGACTCGCAGAGCTCACTGGTGGGATGAGATGAGAGAAAGCAGTCGGCGGGTAGAGATGTGTGGGATGCGAGCGACGATTCGCCGGATATTTTTCTCGCGTCGTCGTGTGCGCTGATGGTGCTGGACAGTCGGGGCGGGAGGGGGGACTCGGGAGGGGAGAGGGGGCATGGAGAGGAGGATCGCCTGATGAGGGAAGGCCCCCGAAGGACCAATGTCGCCTAGGCGATCTCTCGGCGGGTGTATCAGACCGTCTCTGTAAATGCCTCTCCCGTCACTTTGTCTCTGCTCTCTACTAAGAGTCGACCTTTAGCTGGTTGGCGACCAATGTCGAATCTTTTGCAACCGTCACGGCGACCGTTGGAGGGGTATCGAATGTATATCAAAATACCTTTGAACAAGGTATGGTGAACAGGTGCCTATCAACCTCGTCCTCGTGGTCGTTTTTGTGGTGGTGGTGGTCAATGGCTATGGGCTGTGTGGGCGGGCTGCAGAGTCGAGGGGATTCGACTGGCGACAATGGTAGCACGGGGGTCCACGGTAAGGTAGGGTAGCTACTTAGGCGCGATAGTAGACTGTAGTGTGTATACTTCTAGATGCTTGACCAATTGGCGATAACAAAGGCGTGAAGAGGTCGCTCTAGAGGATGGGCGAAGGATGCCGGCGGTACCTCGATGGCGGAAGCTTAACAGCCTGAGAGTGGTCAATGGCCGGGACGGGACTGAATGATTGCAATAAGGGGAGGGGGAACACGCCGCACGAGGCATACCGCACGGGGGACGGAATGAGGACCCCCCTCAGGTAGGTACGCTAAGGTGGGAAATTAGGTAAGCTGGCTGGGTTCCTTCCGTCCCGTCTTGTCTCTTTCCCTCGTGCTTTTTCCAGGATCCTGCTTGCCCGTCTCGTTGAGGCGGGTCTCTGAGCGCTCTTCTCCATCGTCCATTGGCCAAATCCGTAGCAGCCCCTCCCCCTCCCCTGGGAGGAAACACAACGTGAGGAAGTGAAGGAGCGGGACAGTGTGGGTTGAGGCACAGCAGGGGATTTGTCTGTATCTGTAATACCTAAGGTAGAAAGTAAGGTATGAAGTAGGTAGCGTTCGACTCCGAACATGGCATGTCTGTCTATCTATCCAAATCATGTTCTAAACAAGCAAGGCCGAGTCTGCCTTCGTTTGGGTGTGTTGATTCCCATGCGTCGCAAGCTGCGTCCCTGACAATGACAATCAATTGCTCAGCCCTCGAGCCAAGGTACGGACACATTGAGTCCCCTGTCATCACTCCGTACAAAAAAAAAAATATGGCTATCATACCTTTATATGTCTGTAAGTTTGCGGCGTGCCCTCGAACCTCAGAATCCCCCGTCAGTTGGCACAACGAAACACATCTTCCACAAGATAGACGGGACGGAAAGCAGACACTCAAAGCGCAAACAGCGGCATTCCATCTCCCACGAGGCAGCCCAACACACTTGACCTTGCAGCTTACTTCCTACTCATTACCTGCCTTCCTTGTCTTTCTCTCTCTGAGAAAATGAGAGAGAGAGAGAGAGAGAGAGAGAGAGAGAGAGAGAGAGAAAGCGCCGGGCGGAACGGCAGCCGGGAGCTAGGCCTCAGGAAGGAATCAAGGACACTGTGCGGTCGGCAGGAGAGAAAAAGTGCAGGGGCCACCATACACCGATGTGGAGCCCGGGCACGAGCTTGACCGACCAAAAAGGAAGGAAGTCTAGGACTACCTTCACCCGTCCAGAGGCAGGTGGACCCCGCCGACTGTTCAAAATTCACCTCATCTTCCATTTGAACCATCCACGGATCTTCACACACGACCCTTTCCCCGCCGCACTGTGCTCGGTCTACGCTTAACGTTTCCAGGACGACAGATCACCATGAATCCTCTTCATCTAAATCCTCATCCGTCTCCGCACTGTGCTACGCTCACCCAAAGAAGCGTGGATGGTTAGATACTGCCGAGGCTGTCACCTCCTGCCACGAGGTAACGAGATGAGAACGTTGTCTACGCCGTAATGCTCACCTAAACTCACCCAAAGATAGTTGAAGGCATCTTCAAGTCTTCGTACTCGCTGGCTGTCCTGCTACCCCGAGAGTCGAGTACAAAAATGCGCCAGGAACGGGTCAGGTCCAGGCACATCATCGCGACGTATCCCATCCCATCCCATCCCAACCCGACTTCCTGGCTGCAACCTCCAATTTGCCCGCACTCGATCTTCGTCTGAAGACAATGAAGGCGGCCCTGCGTTCACTAACGCCTTGATGTATCCCTCTACGACTGCCGACGGCTTGTCGACTATCCGTTTCCGACCGGGTGTAAGACGATGCCGCTGCACTCCGGCAAAGTATAAAACGGCCGACCGCTATTCGTCCATGCCCATGCCTTCCATGTCCGGTCACGGCGGCCCGGAGAATGCCATCGAGTGTATTGAAGCCGAGAGGAGGGGCATGGACATCGCGTTTGATCCAAGATTCGCCGCCGGAACAGGATTCCTCGCGATGGCGGCGCCGTGAGCGTGATCCCCTCTGGCCTTGGTGCGCCGTACCGCGTCTGCGAGAATCAGCTGGTGTTGCCCGTCAATTTGATCCCGATGCACCATGCGCCGATGACGGGCATTCGCCCAAACCTAGGACACTTCTACGCCTGACCATCTTCTTCAATACAAAGGCGGGAGTTTCGGTATCATCGACGCCATGAATCCAATCCGTGAGCAAGGACACTATGCTTCGGTTAGATACTGTTGCTCCGTTGTCATAAGGTAGTGAATGAGGGGCAGCTGTACTCTACCTTACACCCACGTAGAGGCAAGCCGGGTTTCATTTCACTGTCGAAATGGTTGGAAGTTGGGAGGGCGCCATCTCACACCCTCGCTGTGTGTCTTGTCTGAGAAAGGTTACAGAATCGCTCCCGAGGGTATCGCTACCTCTGAAGTCGAATGAACAAACCCTTATCCACGAACGCGTGGATGGGTGACGGTGCGGGGCGTTCCGCGAGGGGCACTGACGCTTTGTTGTAAGGAATAGAGGGAAAAAGGGGTCGCAATCCTTCTCTCTCAGAGAACCCCTCCTGTGTTGCAGGTCGGGACGATGTCAGATGTTCTCATGGGATTCCATTGCGACAATGGGCTCGGAACGAAACGTACGGTAGGTAACGAGGTGTCCAATACAGACACAGCGCGTCACTGGCAAAAGAGGCAACCTACCATTTTCTATCGGTAGTGCTTTTTTCCTTCTTCCCAGAAAAGCACTGCGAATCAGAGAGGTGCGGTTTCAGGTCGTGATTCGTTCATGTTCCGGGGCCTTGGGGCGGCCGGCGATGACACTGACACGCTGATCCCACCTCGCATCAGTCTACGAGTCTACCTACGTATGTACCTATGTATGATTGACTGTGACTACCTTATGCAGAAGTGCGTGCCTCGATCAACCACCCGACGGCAACGCCCTAGCAGGCAAATCCAGTCAGGCACCTCAATGATCGTCAGGGGTGAGCTGCCCGTCGTTCAGCCTCCCGCCACCACAAGCTTGTTGATCTGCGAGATATTCGTTCTCTGTCAATGGTGCATTGGCGGCTTTTTTGCCATTCAAGCCATGATCAGATACAAAGTACAAAGTCACGACGCAGTATGAAAGTGCTGGTGCTGCAGCCTGCCAGCCAGCCAGCCTTTCCCTCCACGCAATAGCATGTTCTCCTCTCTCTTGGCCCGCCACACTCAGGGTATCCAGGGACCAGCACCGAGACCGCTGTGTTTGCTCGCCTTACTTTTCCAATCGCCTCACGGAGTCACGGTCTTTCAGAAACCACACTACACTACACTACACTACACTACACTAGAAAAGAAGTCCAAAGGGGTTACCCGGGACCAGCGGATGCCGGGGGGGAAGCCACCTCAGGCCTTCAAAGTACTCTATGATAGGTATTTACACAGTCAAGGGCAGTCCCGCCCGGAAGTTCTGAAGGCAACCCTTGAGCATGCTCTTAATTAGACAGGCCCACCACACCACACCTCCCTCCTCCACCGCGACCGTTCCAGCAGCGCATCCTGGCACAAACGCGGAGCGCAAACAGGCACGCCTGACGCCGCACTGCCAACGGGGAACCGGCTGGCCGGAACCCGTGCCGCGGCGCGAGGTGGGCTCTGACTGCCTCCGTGCCCAGGCGTGGAGGCGCGCTCCATTTTAGCTGTTCCTAGTGCCCCGCTATCCTGAAGGGTTCTGAACTCTCTTGTTTTTTTTGGTTTTTTTTTACCCTCTCGAATTTTCCACCACCCCTCCATACGGATACTTTAGAACCAATATCGATCGTCTTTGCGATATTCTCGTCCTAAATCAGGGGTAAGGAACGATAAAGGAGAGACAGCAAGGTAGGTTTGTGTAGCATGAGAGACGCGCGCCGGACCTGTCCTACAAGCGTTGCCTCCAGGGCCATCATCGTTGGCGGTTCGCTACAACGGGCAACGCCTTTCCAACATCAGATGAAAACCCGTAGGCCGATAGCATACGGCTTGTCATTGCAAAGTCAATAGAGGGGTCAATCAACGACAGACCTCCAACTCGGCCGTTCCGGTCATGTATTTTGCTCTGACTTGGCAGGCCTTGCCCTATGCCGAAGCTTCAAATTAAGGGCACCGAAAGCCCGGGTTGGACTGGGTCCTGGGCTCCTGGCGACATCTTCTCCTCCCGGCTTCCTTTCGTTGCCCTGGACCACTTCTGATTCTGGATCCTCTTCCGGCGTCCGCTCGTAGGGTTGATAGATTGCCAACCTGCCAGGTAGATGGCGGGGACATGGCTTGCCCTTGGATTCAGTTGGATTCGAAGGGCCCATATATTACAAGAGAGGGACTATTGCAGGTGGTAAATGGAGTGCCGGACTGGGGTGCATGTTAGCCCCGTCGAGTGGTAGCCGGAGACGGAGCTGGACCATCGAGAAGAACTCTGCGCCTGAGGTTGTATGCCCGCGATACTGAGTGAGGTAGGGTAAGTACGGTGTGCAGTATCCCCTCAAGGTATCGGGATTCTGGATTCCCAAGGCGCATATCTGTGATAGACATGTCAATGCGTTGGGAAAATGGCTTTGTCGGTGAGGCCTATTGCTTCTAGATTTGTCTCCTGTGCCGGCAGCACATCTCTGAAGGCTTATCTGGCGTGCGCCTGCGCCGACTTCGCGGTGACTTCCGGCATCAGAGGCGAAACCGTCAATATGAAGCGGGTGATATCGTGAGCGTAAAAGACAATAGAAGAGGGGATGTCCACTTTCTTGCTGCGACCCAGGAGTCGCAGCGCAAGATTTGTTAGTCTGCTCCCCACCAATATGACAGGACTTGCCCTTTCGGATCTCTGACCCTTGAAATCCAGCTTCTGTCCGCCATTTCGTGTACCCACTCCGACATTTCGTCGTTCGAGACCGACAAGGTGAGAGACGCGCTTACAAGGACTCACCGCATCGTTGGTGCTCGAGAAGTGATGGGATGCCCCTCTAGAGTCCAGGGCTCTGTACATACATACTCGATAGGGACCCGGTTGATCCTGTGCTTTTGGTCGTGCAGTTCGAGGGCCCCGGAAGCGCCAGTTCACGACGTTGACGGGGGGTGCTTGAGGGCGGTGACGCCCAGGACGGTGAACTGTAAGTGTAAGCGAGCGAGCGACAGGCCTTGCAAGGTCTAGGATGAGAGCACCCGTAGCGCAGCATAACGCGTGACAGCGAATTCTGGGTCATGATCCATGGTTCAGACTTCAGAGAGGGGGAGGGGCGCGGCGGTCGAGACTTGAAGTTCAAGTTGTACGTCTTTGGAGGGGGAGGGACTGGAAGGCGAGGGCAGATTTGTGGCGCCAGGGATGCGAATGAGAAAGCCGAAAAATCAACGAGGCCGATAGGGCCAGAGCGGATTCCCCGAGAGTTGTGAGGATATCCATCCTCCATACCATGTTTGACATATCGTGACATGCAAATGATAATCGCAGTGGAGCGTTGATCGATTTCCCCTAGACTCCGGGCGGCTGGTTGGCGACATGGACAGGTAAGTAAGGAGCAGATCCGGAATGACGGGACATTTGCAATGGAAGCATCAGACCCAGTCATGGAAGGCGTATGGAAAATTGTGTAACTCGCTTGGACAGGATAACGGGATCGAGGAACAATGTGGCACATCCATAATGACCCCCCCAGGATAGCAAAGGCTCTACATAGTACACAGAAAGGACCGTTTGGGAGTGTAGGCCCGGGGGAGAACAGGGGAAGGGGTTTATTTGACTTGTGTCAACATGATGAAATGACTTGGGAGTTGGCACAAGTTACAACTTGAGAGGTGGAAACCTGTCAAGTTCGAGGGACGACAAAGCGTGCCAGCTTGTGGGAAAAGGTACCAGCCTGCGCCGCACTTGAGCTTCCAAACTCGCCTGGAGGAAGGTGGCAGTAGGTAGCACTGGTACCAGCCTCAGTTTCTGCCCCTCCATTCACGTTTTCTACCGATAGGAAGGTACGAGGTACTTGCAAGTTGCAGGAAAGAGCACATGAAAACCCTTGATGAACCTCTGCAGGGCATGTCTATCTCAGCGCAACAGGGACCCAAAGGGCCATGATACGGAGGACCTAACGCATTGCCATGTACCTGATTGTGCAAGGGGTGTGGAAGAGAGTCATAGCAGAGTTGGAAAAATTTTCTCATCCGTATCAGAGAGCGGGAGACAACCTCAATTTCCATAGGCGACAAGGCCAAGGGAAAAGAAAGCAAACAGTTGAGTCAGAATGGGAATGGGATTAAAAAAAAATAAGAAGAAAAAAGAAAACGAAAGGGGGGCGGGCGAGCGAAAAGGGATGAGACTCCTGAGAGAAAGGAGGGGGAGGGGCTCGAGGACCGAGGGGCACACTTGTGACTTGTGCCAGCAGCATCGAGAGTCGAGACAACGACGTCGACATCATCTCGTTTGGCGAAGATCGCGGGAGCGCTTCCGTGGTCCGCGATGGAGCCGTGGGTCGCTTGTCGCCTTTCTCATTCCACTTGTTGATTATGCCCAAATCCAATACTCCGTACGGAATAGTACACAATGGTCTGTGTTGCGCATGGCGGCATGGCTGGTCATGCTTCGTATCATTTCAGATCGTCTTGTCGTCTCCTTTTTCGATCTGCTGCCGGCGACCACGACCAGAGCCCTGTCTCTGGAGTCCTCTCTTTCACCAAGTCAGCCGACTAATGTAAACAGGGGGATATGACCCGCTTGCCCGGATGCTTGTCGGCGGTCGCAGGTTTACCGTTTGTTAGTCGAGCAGAAAAAAAAAAAAAGGTGCTCCCAAGGACCCAAGCAGGGCTATTGAGCATCTTGCATCCAAACAAGTCCCGACCGCTTCAGACCTGACTGACCGCCTTTGAGGAATGAAGAAAACGAAGAAGCGGTCGGGCATTTGGCATCCCGAGCGATAGTGTAAGTGTGGCTCTCTCTCTCTCTCATAGCCATGGGCCTCTCAACAGACGACGTGTCTAGGTATCCGTAAGTCGTGTCTCATCAATGATGATTCAGATGCATCCCAAATCGAACTGCAAGAAAATGCGTCCCGCTCTCTCGGCCGGGTACTAATTCGCGGTACGCACGCGGCAGCGGTGCGGGTGCGGGAAGCGGTACGGGTTGACGGGTATCCCAAACGCAAGCCCAGCCCAGTCCAGTCCAGCCCAGCCCAGTGGTTCAGTTTTCTGTCATTCTTGTTTTATGCTCTCAACGCGTCTGATTGCGTTCTGCCTCGTTGGTGGTGATTGGTCAATGCAGGTCGTGTAGGCGCGGCGCGTGAACGGCGCGTTCTTGAACCACGTTTTGAGATGGTGCAAGACCCACACAACCGCCGTGGTCCGTGGAATTGGCCGTTTGGCGTTTGCTCATCCAGCCGTGTGCCGGCATCCAGCGAACCCACCCACCTCAGACGTGCTGTGACGAGCCCCGTACACAGTAGTCGTAGTGTACTGTAGTATAGAACCGTTTTCCCACCTCCGCGATGCGAACACCAGCAACAGGTGCATGTGAGCTGCAGCCTGAGACCCGCGGCGAGAAGAACGGCGGGTCGGCCTTGGGGTGGGGACTGGGAAGATGCTTTAGTGCACATATTGGAGCACATCCTCAGCTACTCCCTGCTTGTTCCCACAAAGTGCACGTGTATTGGACCGCGTACTTGTCCTTGAGGTGCACGACGGAGGTACACTGGGATACCTCTTCTCACCGCCGTGAGTGACAGGATGGGTCTCCGTCCACGGGAACAAGCATGTATTCCGCCGGCGCGCGTTAGTGCAGCTTGTCGGGACACGTATCATCCGAGTACCGGATGTACCCTGGCCGCGCTGATGTACCGTCTGGGGACCGGGAGACGGGGTCTCTGCCCATTGGCTCAAGGTAGGGGGTGCCCGGCAAGAACCTGCTGCTAATCCTAGCTTGTCCGTTAGAGCATCCCATCCCATCCATCCCATCCCATCCCGTTGGATGGGCTTGCCAGCTGGGTACCCTCGAAACCTTGACCAGCACGCCCAGCACTCCACGATCAGCTACTGGCTTCACATGGCGCAGACAGAGAGCCCTGGACAAGAATCAATCAGCACCTGTCCGTCCACTTTGTTGTACAGATATGGAGCATTAGTTCGTGATATGGTCTGAGATGTCATCGCAAGACTGTATCCGTACAATGACAGTTACACAAATAGCGATAGAAGAGGAGGGGTCGATGACCAGCCAGGTGGGGGTTTGGTCATACTGATGAGGGGCGCTCTGAGGAGTCGGAAACGGGGGAGGGGATCACAGAATCATTGGATTCTGGAAGCTGTGTGAGGCTTCTTCTCCAGCCAGGTCCTTCGCGGCTTGTCCTTGTTCAACTCCTCCCTTTCGAGTTCCGGAGCCGGGGCGAAATTGCCAACCAAATCGGCGGTCCGGGTTCTAGCGAGGCTAGGCCGGGAGGGGCAGCGAGCTGCTGGGACAGAGGGGAAACCTCCCAAGCTGTTCGTAACTGCAATTTCTTTTCCACGTCGCCTATCCTCCAGCCTCGGGTTCTTGCGCGACGGTAATCTGCGAGCTTCTCTCGGTAGACGCATGGGCGACGTCAGTGCTCGTTAACACATGCCCTCCTATTAAGCAAGGCATGTTGTTTCGCTTGATTCAGAAGCAAGTAATGATGAATCAGGATAACATGGCCCAATATGTAACCGGGGAGCGACTAATCGCCTGTCATCTGGCGTTGAGCTACAATGTCATGTCGTTGCATGCCTTATTGTTAGTAAGGTGAGCGAGCTATGGGACGGGACGAACTGGTGAAGCGGATACCATGCATATCTTGAGTTACCTTACCTTACTTCAGCTGTCCTAAATTTCCTCTCACACCGCACACCTTCCATCATGCCGTCTTTCCTCCTTTTTTCTCTTTCTGGCTGGACTGGCCTGGAGTTTCGAGTCTCAAGTCTCTGGCCAGCTCAACAATGATGACCCAACCGGCCACATCATCGTTCCTGGACGCTTCCCGTCATCAAACCCAGGGCACTTGAGACCAGCACATCAGTGCTTGCCTTAGCGTCGCGTACCACTGCCTTGGTGCAGTCCACCCCGAATGGGACCCCCCTAAATAACCCGGAAGTCCAGTACCGCTTGCCATTAGCCCGTGTGCTGTAGTCGTGTATAGTGCTCTACATGTACGTTTTTGTAGGTGCTCAACTGAACTGGCTCATCGACCGGCTTTCGGCCATGGGCTCACGCCCCCCTAGGGCGTCTTGACGCACCCCAGCAAACATCCTTGAAGCGTCCCATAACCCGGCCATCCGCCCTTTGGCTTTCCCTGCCATGTTTCTGTGGGCACTGGGCACCGGGGTTGTGGTGTCTGAAAGTGGCTAGTTGTGCTCCGGACGGATCGGGTGCGTGCCAGGCCTTGCAAATCTCGTGCGCTCCATTTCACCATCCCGCGGGACAAAATCTGAGCGCTGTAATTTTGGTTGGGATGACAATGGCGGGACGAATGGTCAGTACTTTGCGTCATGGTATGGTGCACCGCGTGAGCTCAAGTACCGCCTTCGAATGCCTGTACTGTTGATGGCTTGATGCCTCTGTGCTTGAGGGGAGGCAAATTCATCGATTCCATCCTCGTGGTTGCTAAATGTAGACAGACAGAGCATTAGCGGCCGCGAGAGGAAGCTGTGCCCCCCAGTCTAGCAACAAATCTTTACTGGCAATCTCTGAATCCTCTGCGTGCCATGTCGGGTCGTGTTCGCAAAGGGGCCAGCCAATACGGATAGACAGTGATGACTGGGCCTTGCTCTGTCGAGCGGGATGGGATGGTGAGCGACAGTATCTGTACGAATAGAGCAGAAAGATCCTCCCTCTCGAGCTCGAGTGGTTGGTATTTGTCCCTATCCGTTCGTTTGTCTCTTGACCCCTAAAGTTGTCTTGGATGGTGATGGTGATGATGATGGCGATGGCAATGGCGATGGCAATGGCGAGCCGCGACACGACCCAGTCAGATTCCTCGCCTCTCGTGTATCAGACGAGATGAGGGTACTATATGGATACAGTGATGCATACCTTCATGGTTCCGAGAAATTTAATGGAAATTGGATGAAGGCAAACTAATTGCGTGGGCTGGCTGGCTGGATGGATGGATCGTGGAGATGGCTCGGAGTTTTGGCAACTTTGGTACTCGGTCGCGAATATGATATGGCGAGGTGCGATTCTATTCGATTACTTGTAGACTCTCGTCGACTTGTGCTGTGATTGAAATGAGACATTTGAAGGCTGAATGGAAGCTGAAGCTGGATGTTGGAGCTGAAGTTGGATGCCCTGCGTGATGCAGAGTGGCAGTGAATGAAAGTATGGAAGGTATCTATCTGTAAGGCCAGAAGTATCTTGTGCGCAAAGCTGTAGTAGGGAGTGACATGGAAGTGGGGTCGTCAGTGTCTGCTTACATAGCTCCGGCCCTCCCTTCCCGTTCCCTACCAGTCTATCCGTAATAGGGGAGGTAGCTAAAAAGGAGTGTTTGCATTCCGCCTCTGACATAACAGCACAGCAGGTCAGGTACGGGACTACTTCGTACTTGTGGAATTACAGGCAGAAAGACCTATGTAAATATGGAGCCAGGAATGGCTAACCGACTTGAACCTTACCTCCCGTCATCTGCTGTGAAAGTGAGGAGGATGAGGTACGTACCTCCTTCCCTGCTCGGAGTGCAGGCAGGTGGTTTTTATTTTTGTGGACAACATGCGTGCGCGGCGTGCCTCTGTGCAAGTGTGCATTGGTGCCAACAGCATTGCAACGGCACAGTCTACCTAGGTACCTTCCTGCTTCCTTAGGTCATCCAACCTGAGGTTACGAATACAACGACAGCGGAAGCAACAGCAGCACGACAGGGTCAGCATGGAATGACAGTGCAGGAGGAGAAGGGAGGGAGGCCGGCCGTGGAAGAAGACGGGAGGGAAGAAAAGAGGAGGCGGAGAAG